TCAGCAGCAAACAGGCTAAACTGTTTTTTCCTAGCTGAAAAACAATGAAAGAAAATTGAAAGATCAGGATTAGAAAGAGACCAATGACACTGGTGGCACAGGAGGAGGGGAACAAGGAGCACATGGAAGTTTGGCAGTCTAGAAAGGTTAGGCCGCAGACAGAAACCCTGGGAAGGGATCAAGGGGTCACCATCCTATTAGGAGATCAAGGGAAGGCAAGTTGTGAAGCCAAGTGGAATGATTTTAAAAAACAAGCTAGTGAGAGGGAGAGGCGAAGACAGCACAGCATACTACCAAGGGAAAGTTTGCCTGGTTTGGGACAAAGGAGTTTGGTAGGACTGATATAATCTTAATCCAATCCTCCCATTAATTTAACAACCACAGAAGATGCCAACACATATTTTGAAGATCAGTTATTTCTCCTTGTGATTAAAACTAGTTGAATCTTAGGGGCAAGATCTCAGGTTCAAAGAAATTAAAAATGAATGGTCGGCCAAATCCTTGCTGCTCTGTTCCTGCAGGCAGGGCAGCTGATGCCCATCAGTGCCAGCAGGTAAGGGAGCACCCACGCACAGCCAAGAGCTCCGGTCCCTGCGGGCACCGCTCCTGCTTGGGGCTGCCTCTCCAGAAACCCACACGCACTCACCCGTGGGAGCACAGCCTCGCATGCGCTGATTCAGAGCATATACTGCAAAACTAAGGGAATTATTTCAGTTCCTACAGCTGCATTAACCTATTTTTCCTCTTCCTCAAATTCTCCTTAGCGTTTTTTTCCCCATCTGCTTTGTTGCACTCCTATTTTGTAGTCTCCCCTCACTATCCATTACTGGCTGCTGTCAAAGACAAAGTTCACCATTAGGCTGGTATGATATGGCTTTTTAAAAATGTTTTTCCTTGGGTAATGACTTGCTAAAAATTAAATAATTTAGTAAAAGGACGAATTAAATAACCAGCTGGGGTTCTTTTTTTCCTCAGGTAACATAAGAGCATGTGTGTTACATTCTGTTTGAACTAAGGCTACTATCATACACACACTGCTGAAACTGTTATGTTTCATAAAGTAGCCTTATTATTTTCTGCATATTTTTCTTTGTGTGCGGAGTTTCTTCTTTCTATAAAATTGCATATCCGTGGAGGATTTGGGGGCACTCAGCCAGTCAATCCAATTTGGAGTTGGATGGTGGCTGTAGGGGGCTAAGTCCCTTATCTGTCCCCTTCAGCTGTTTTACTTCTCTGATATTGATGGAAACATAAAAGTGGAATCAACTCAGAGGCAAGAGCCCAGCGAGAGACTTAGTAGAGAAAAGTTGAGGGGGGACACTGACTAATCTCCGTGCAGCTGGGGTAATAGCCTGACAGATTCAGTTTTGAACATGCATGCAGTTGATTTGGTATTTCACAAACATTGCCATTTTGTTTATCTTTATGGGTATCAAAGCAAGTATAAGAAGAAAATTGAAATCAGATTGGTAATGGCTTGGGGTTTTTTTGGAGAAGCTGTATTTATGGAATTCTGGTTTCCCACATGGTTTGCACTGGGCAATGACAAGGCTCAATGAATGAACAGGAGGCCTGAAAGTGGATTAGCCATTCCTACAAGACAATAACAGAAGCATAAAGAGGAACTAGCCAGTCAATATACTTGATTCCATGCATACTTCATGTTATATACATACTACAGTGAAAAGCAGCTCATGTTATGGAAATCAGTGATTATAATGGTGCAAAACTGATGCGAATAAGAATTTGAAGCTGATGGACCTGACTGTCTGGTGTGCTTTGTGGGATTCATAGTTGTCTTTGTACCTCCTGACTCTGGACCAGAGGGTCTTGCATTTCTTCCAGGTTAGTACTTCCTAGTAGGCTAAATGGTGACAGCTTCCCATGTCCCTCGATGACATAGATAGCTGGAGGTGCACAGAAGTCGGGTGATGCTGCTTTCCTCATGCAAAACTCTCTGCTGTGCCTCTGTTTGGAAGCTGGCATTAGGCAATGCACACTGATGAATAACAGCTCTTATGTGAAGTGTTTTCAGTAGGGAGGATCCTCTGCCTCTTGTGTCACAGTGATGTGGAAAAGAAAACCTTATGGTCAGCAGTGTAGCCCATCAGCTGGCTGGTCCTTCCCTTGCAGAGAGAGCAGGAGAAGGGTGATCCTTTAGTACCTGAGCAATAGGCAGGCAAATTTTCCATCTCTTGAATGAAGGTTTCTTGCCACAGCCAATACAGAGGACTGACAGGATAAACCCCACCTCATAGTGTATGAATGATGTTCACTAGATTGCTTCCCTCTTGCCCATAAAGGAGACAAAGGTACACCTGGGGCTGGGCTCAGTGTGAGGTGGGGAACAAGAAGAGGACTGGAAGGAGGAGGTGTCTGTCTATGAGACCAGTGGTGAGAGAAGGGTCAGAAAGGCTGTGATGGGTGTCAGGAGGTAAGGGTGAAGGAGCAAGGGAGTTTCTCTGCAACAAGAAAAGAATGAAGTTAAGAATAGCAAGGGAAAGTAACATAAGGAAGAGGGAGGCAGAATCTGTACTTATTTAAGAATATTAAGACACTACCATAGATGAAAGGAAAACATAGCAAAAGAAAATAAAGAACAAAGGCAGAAACAAGTTGTTCTTCAAATCAGAATGTGTAATGCTAAACAAAGCAATAAAATCCATTGCTGGTGCAAGTGTGATTGATTTGGCTGACTTCTATTTCCTTCCTCCTACTGGGCAGCTGCTGAGAGAGGGATATAAAACTCAGGTGGTGTGTTGATGAAAAAAGGTATATAAAGCTTGACATCTTCTGGACTTGCCTCCCCACTTGATTGATGCTGATGTCTCAGGCCACAGATGTTGCTCATTGGATCTGGTATGACTTCTCAGGGGCACTGCAAGGGACCACTCCTCCCCAGACCCCTCCTTGGTTAGGCCTGTGCATCTCTGAATCTGCTGATGCTGAAAACTAACCATCCAGGGCTGGATTCATTCTTGTGGCTGTGTGAAAGCTACCATGAGTGCAGGACAGGCAATGAGAATGGGCAGCTAGAGGTGGTGACAGAAAGGACTTCCCTTTACACAGATTTATGCCAGATTATAGTGCTTGTCTCATTGACAACTGGCAGGACACGGGTCCCCACACTTGTAAGACGCCTCTCCTGTCTTGATTGTCTGGTGTGTTAGAATGTAGGAGTTCTTGTTTACTTAACAGTAACCAAGCTAAGAAGAGGAGGGGAAGCCCAAGGCAGCTTCTATTTCTGCAGCCTGTCAATCCAGGCCTCACTCACAACTGTAATCTCCTATGTTTCTCTCCAGTAATCCTGCTTTCTCAGCTCCTACTCCTTGTTTATCCATGCAGCTTGCAAGTCTTCTCCTGATTTTCAATGCTCCTGGACAACAGTGTAATAAATAGAAGCGTCTTTGGTCAAACCCTCTAGAATTCCATGTAAATTCTGCCCTGGCAGCTAAAGCCAAGTTGAGTTTCACAGATATCCCAGTCTTCCAAATACATGTTCAGGGCACAGTTTCTGGAGACCTTGTGGGAAGTTCTAATCTTAAACTACTTGAAAAATAGAAAAGCAAAGCCCATCACTTGCGCTATTTATAGATCCTTTATGGCTTGGGGAAATTCTCTCCCTAGTTGTCTTTTGCTAAAAAACAATAGCACTTCTTATCTTATGTATATTGAAGCTGTAGAAAAGCTACTTAGGCCTCCCTTCTAGATAAAAGACCTTTCTCAGTGAGTCAAAATGGATCAGTTCCTTAAACGAGGTCACAGAATACTGCCTGCTCTTTCAGGGACAAAATTTTCACTGTCCCCTTTATGTATGTATTTTATTTACACATGGAAAGATTGCCACATGGTGGCAATTTACCTGCACTTTGCTGTTGTGTATATACAAATGCCTAGCCCAGCCCAGCTTCTTTTCCAAATGTGCTCTTTCAGCCCATCCTGTGCTCTTAGGAAATGCTGGCACTTCAATGTTAAGATTATTTGTTCTTGTGTTTTTGTTGGGGGTGTCTGATGCTTTTCTCTCTTCCTTCCCTCCCTCCAACACTTCAGATGCCATTCCTTATTCCTACCTCCTTCTAATTTTCTGGCCAAAAGAGAATATTGGGACAAGTTTGGATTTTATATAAAGCTTGGCTAGTTTCTTAAAAAGCAAAACAAGCTTATTTCCCTTATAGACATGAGTGGGTTGACCATGGGGACAGCTGGGGAGAGCAGGGAATCATGGCAGGATTGTGCAGAGGGCAAAGATATGCTGGAAGTCTGTGCAGCTTCCTATGACCCTCTCCTCAAATGGGGACAGGGAAGAACATAAGGAGCCATAACCCGATCTCTGTCATAGTATCACTGGAACCAAATCAGCTCTGTGAGAAGTTTATACACTTACTTTTAGAAAGGGCAGAAAACACAACAAGAGTTCTACAGTAATTGCACTTTGAAGATGC